ATAGCTATTGAATAATTGATAAACTTTCATAAGTATATTTTACAAATTTGCTTTTCAAGCTTCATAGACATTGAATAATTGATAACATTCATCAAGTATGATTTGTAAGCTTTATACATCATATATCTTGTCTTTAACACTTCAATCAACCTGCCTATATAACTTTGAATAATTGATAAAAACATTCATGATCTAGAAAGACTTTTATTTATATTTAATAATAATAAATTACATTCCTCTCATTAATTCCGGTAATTAATTATGTAGAGGAATCATACTAATAATTCATTATTTCGAACATAAGCTAATAATAATTAGCAGGGTTGGCATTGGACAATGTTGGACAATGCCAACCCTGCTAATAATGGTGGCTTGTCAGTAGCTCGTGTTACTTTCTAGAAGTGGAAAATTTTCTCTGGTTATGCGTGGTTATGCACACAGCCTTTGAAATCTAACTAAAATGGAACATTTTGGAATTTTTTATTATCATTATCATTATCATTGTTATTATTATTTATTGTTTTTGTAATTGTTATTGTAATTGTTATTGTAATTGTTATTGTTTTTGTTGGTTTACTCAAAACACGTTGTTCATAAGGTAATATTTTCTTATAAAAAGAACTTCTTTTCTTTTCCTCTTTTTTTATAACAATATACAAATACAATTAATACAATTCCGCTGCACCACAGCAACCTTTAAGGCAAGTCTTGGAAATGTGTTTTTGATTGGTTCTGATTATTTAACTACATGATAACCTTAGGGCCGGGTCAGGAGCACTGGGTTATTATTGTAGTTGAAGAGATAGACTTTAGGGCCACTCATTTCTTTGATTTGAGTAGGAGCACTGAGTCTATTGCTAAAAATCAGAATTTTTTTGAGGGCATTTTTTCATATAAAATTCCGTGTTGATCAAAAAATTTTTATTAGTGAGTGACACTTGACCCCCTGTAGATCCGCAATGTCCTGCGACTAGTAAAAAACATATAGAAAAGTGAAAAATGTCACTACTATTAACTGGGTAAATTTAATAGTATAGGGTTGAAAATCCCTACTATAACAGTATAAGATGAGCAGTGGGTTTGTGATACCACGTGGTTATGTTGATGATCTAGGTTGTTTATGGTGGTGATTTTCGCAATTATCCAATAGAATCTTGGGTAAATTTAATATGTAAAACCTTTCAAATTGCCTGGGACCTCAATTAGAAGTTTCCGGGGTCCTTCAGGACACTAGCTCCGCTATTTTAGAATTTCAATGCGTACAACCACCTGACAATAATAATGTAATATTCATGCATGTTTATTTGTGCGATTAACCAAAATTCGATCGATTAGCTCATGTACATTCGTTTTTTTTGGCTTTTATCCATACGTTTTTTATTTTTAGCTTTCCAGACACAAAGTGGCCAGATTCATGATTTGGAAGTTTTAAAAAAGGTGATTTTTACCAATATTCTCTTATTATTTTTTAGCGTGTAACACAATTTATGATAGACTTTTTCCTGCTGATCTTTTTTTGCAAAAAATTTTTTTCTTTGTTATGATAGACTTTTTCCTGCTGATCTTTTTTGCAAAAAATTTTTTTCTTTGTGATGTCTGATATCTCCGAAAAAGACGGGTTTGATTACTTTGCTCAAACTTTGGTACGCGATTGGGATCCACTAGGCCATCATATTTTTTGGAAAAGTTTCGTATCAGTTAAACCAGATAAAGCAACGGTAACAAGAGCTTTTAATGAACAAGTCAAATGGTTAATAGCAAACGGGGTCGAAAGTGAACAGGAGAAGGCGAAATATCTAAAGAAACAATTTCAAGTAAGGATATAATGGCTGTAGGGACCCGTGGGACTACGTCTCCTGCACGGTACTCCTGCTACAGACCATTCATGCTGGTTTAAGATATTGTAGGGACCCGTGGGACTACGTCTCCTGCACGGTACTCCTGCTACAATCCCCGCAACCACATCGCAATTATGTATAATTTCTAACTACTTTCCTAGATTGATTCACAGAAAGGTGGTCGAATATATCTTTTTTGGGAAGAAGAAATGCACATTGAAAAACTTGATAAAATTGAAAAGAACGCTTCTATTATGATTCGTGAATTTCAAGTAAATATTATGTGATGATGTATAATCATTTATTTATTGGTTTCTTAGTTCATTTTTAATATACTGTAGGCACAGCATCATTATTCTGTTGCAAGCCGTGTACTTACGGGAGAAAACAACATAAATCCTCTTAATGTAAGTTACAAAATAAGCACTTTTAAGAAAACAATGATTAATTTTTGATTTAGGTTTTTCAAAAAAGAGATTGGAAAGTGAAAATGTTGATAGTTATATAATTTTTTCCATTAAATAGATAAGAAATGACAATGTCGCTAATACCTATTCCAAAGACACTAGTTTAGAAAAGGTTAAAGGACCTCAAGAGAATGGAAAGTCAGCCTGTAAAGATAATTTGAAAAGAAAAAGAGATGATGATGAGCTGGATTATGAAGGATTGTCGTTATTATTTGATGAATCAAACGAAGATGCCCTTGTGGAACGTATTGATGAAAAAGTACTTGAGCAAGAGAACATATTGCCACAAACAAGTGGTAATAGCGTCTCAAAGGTAAGCCTTAATGTTAACAGTTGGGAATATATATTCAGTAGGCTCATTATATTATCCTAAATAGGATCAACTAAAAAATATGGATGCGGGTATCATTGAAGCTTTTCATAAATATCAAAAGACAATACCAAAAACCCGTAAGATTTTTACGTAAGTTTGATGTCATTTAGTAATGGTCCGATTATTCCAATTATTGATATATTCTATCATTTCCATTTTCATTCAATAGTCCTGCGTACTGGGGGGTTCTGGATTTAACTGGGGAAAGCTTATATGATTGTAAACAGCTCACAGAAGAGGATATAATGCGACTATCACAAGACTTTGCCAACAAAATTTCCTGGAAAACTACACCTCCAGAAGAGAATATACGAGAATATTTTGATAGTAATTGCGAAAAAAAGTTTGACGGTATTAGAAAATTGGATGTCAACATTCAGTTTATGTATGTACAAGTTTTTTTGATTATATTTATTATCTGGTTATAGTGTTCTGACTCTATATTGCTATACAGAAAAAGTGATGTATATAATTTTCAAGGAATGATGACTGAAGAGGAATTAAAAATGAGTACAGCATTTCCATTATTTCGTGGAATATTTACTTCTGATAGGATTAAAAATGCTTGGTAGATCATTTATTTACATTTGTATTGAAGGTATTTTTCAAATATTAATAACTATTCTGTATATCTAGGGGAGAAATCCAGGCTTTACCTACAAATTATGCACGTAACGAAAAGGGAAATCCATTTAAAAAAGCACGGATAGGAAGACGTGTAGATATGAAGAGTACCCTTGTCAAAACCTCTAATAAATTCGAGGTCATTTATGGAGAAGTAGCAGGAGGGTTGGGTCCACTTGGAATACCCACTGCCTGTCGTAAAAAGCGTTATCTCGATAAGGTAAAACTAATGATAACAATGCGCGATGGCATTAACAGACTGCTAAAAGAATGCAAATATATATCATTCGAGAAACGTATGAATTTAATTATATATGGATGGCTTCAATTCGTTAAGTTTTGTCTACATTATGTAGGTTGGATTTAATTTGCTAATAAGCTTCATTTTTATGTATAGGTCTAGAACTGAACTTCTATGCCATGGACTGGTCAGGTGCCGGTATGTACAGATTTGGCTTAATCGATCAATGCAGATTACCATCAGATGAGGATGAATTTGGGATGCTTGAGGACGTGTACTGCATTCTCAAATTGCTTGAAGTAAGTGATGTTCTTTGCTAACAATATTACATAAATACGTAAATAAACATCTACCTAATTTGTTGGTCAAATGTAGAAAAAATCACTCGAGATTGAGAAAGTAGTCAAACAATTATTTTTAGAAAACACGAAAGGGAAACGAAGGAAAATTGCATCCGAAACTGAAGCAGAGTTGAATGAAAACCGCACCCCTGAAAGATAATGAAATTTATGGTGGCGATTCTTGATAATGATTTTATTCAAATTTTTGAAATAAAAAATCGTGCACGTTACAATTTATATTGTCAAGAAATTTTGCGCCTGTGAACTATTGAATATAAATCAGATCATAGTGAATTGTTATTAAGAATATCACGTGGGCGTGAAAAATTCTTCACACCGATCACTTTTGCCAAGAAAAATTATTGCCGAAGGCAGTCACAAAGTGGCTAGTTATACATTACACGAAAAAAATAATTCATGATACATTGTACGTTCCACTAATTATAATCGAAAATTTTCCGAATTCCGGTAAAGAAACAAAACAAATTACATATAAACGATTATTATTCCCATCATGAACAGCGAGGTAATGATCAGCCAGTTCCACTATGTGAAAAAAGTATATTATTTAATCGTGTTTTTATCGGACTATGTCCGTGCGTTCCATTGCATTAACAAAATTAATAAAAGAGTTTATTTACCAAATGAAACTTCAATATGTCCGTTCATTGTAGAATTTTTTTCGTTAAAAAATGTAAGGAAAAAAACTCGCCTCATAAATCCAGTTTATTTATAGCGGAGCTAGTGCTAAGGCACATAGTTTCATTTGTTACCTGAGAACCTGTTAGAAGAAAAAACATTAGTAATTACGTTACCTGATCATTTGTCGGATCTTTCTTCGTAAGGCAGGTCTATTAAGTCATGGGTGTCAAGAACTGGATATATTTCGCATTTTAAACCTTCCAGTCTGACGATCGCTTTTGTAGAATAAAAAATAAGACAAATTTTGGCGATCTTGGATCTCACTGCATTCTCAAATTGCTTGAAGTAAGTGATGTTCTTTGCTAACAATATTACATAAATACGTAAATAAACATCTACCTAATTTGTTGGTCAAATGTAGAAAAAATCACTCGAGATTGAGAAAGTAGTCAAACAATTATTTTTAGAAAACACGAAAGGGAAACGAAGGAAAATTGCATCCGAAACTGAAGCAGAGTTGAATGAAAACCGCACCCCTGAAAGATAATGAAATTTATGGTGGCGATTCTTGATAATGATTTTATTCAAATTTTTGAAATAAAAAATCGTGCACGTTACAATTTATATTGTCAAGAAATTTTGCGCCTGTGAACTATTGAATATAAATCAGATCATAGTGAATTGTTATTAAGAATATCACGTGGGCGTGAAAAATTCTTCACACCGATCACTTTTGCCAAGAAAAATTATTGCCGAAGGCAGTCACAAAGTGGCTAGTTATACATTACACGAAAAAAATAATTCATGATACATTGTACGTTCCACTAATTATAATCGAAAATTTTCCGAATTCCGGTAAAGAAACAAAACAAATTACATATAAACGATTATTATTCCCATCATGAACAGCGAGGTAATGATCAGCCAGTTCCACTATGTGAAAAAAGTATATTATTTAATCGTGTTTTTATCGGACTATGTCCGTGCGTTCCATTGCATTAACAAAATTAATAAAAGAGTTTATTTACCAAATGAAACTTCAATATGTCCGTTCATTGTAGAATTTTTTTCGTTAAAAAATGTAAGGAAAAAAACTCGCCTCATAAATCCAGTTTATTTATAGCGGAGCTAGTGCTAAGGCACATAGTTTCATTTGTTACCTGAGAACCTGTTAGAAGAAAAAACATTAGTAATTACGTTACCTGATCATTTGTCGGATCTTTCTTCGTAAGGCAGGTCTATTAAGTCATGGGTGTCAAGAACTGGATATATTTCGCATTTTAAACCTTCCAGTCTGACGATCGCTTTTGTAGAATAAAAAATAAGACAAATTTTGGCGATCTTGGATCTCAAGTTCCATAATATATGAATTTTGATATTATTACTGATAAAGAACAATAAACTCTCCTCATTCATATCCTTTTTGGGTCCCATTTGTATTTTTTCTTATCGGAAAAGCTATCTACAGTAAGGAAAAGGCTTTATTAATTAATTCATATATTGAGAAAATAATTTAGCGGTGTCACAGAAATAATCTCGTGGAACAAAGACTCAAATAATTATATGAATCGTTATTTATTTCTTCACGAAAAATAAACCTGGTTCTATCATTATATCGAACAAAAAATGAATCGTGATATACATATAGTTATAGTTGATAAAATAATAGGTCTAAACCCTAAATACACAACAAAGTACATAATTGTTAAAACGCACTATAATCACATCGAAATAAGTCTTATAATATAATCACTATAAATTATAATTGATAAATATGTCTGGTTTTGATATTGCAACTATTCTCGATAAGAAAGATAGAACATTACCCAAACCCTTTAACATTCGTCCTGGATATGATATGAAATATGTCGTGTCATATATTGGAAATTATTTTGCTTTTGATGGAAAACGATACGACGAACTCTTCGATAATGAGAGATTATTTGATACTTTATCTATCATAAAACAGAATGAAACACCAGTTCAATGGGCAATACGGGTGAGAGTACCTTTACAGAATTTATTAAATGCTGGAAAATTTAGTGTATATCACCAGTTATGTTTATTCGCATCATTTGGTAAAGGTAAATTTAATAATTTCAATTATTATAGGCCAAGAATCCACAAAAGTCATATGGCTATTTGTTTTGGTTGCTGGAAACTCATAAAAATCGATGATGTACAGCCTAAAAAAACATTCCATTATTCTAGGCAGAGATATGTTGATTATCTTAAACCTAGCGAATTGATGATCAGTCATTGGGATAATGAATGTGATAAACCAAAGACCGATTTCGGAAAAGCAAGGATTATACAAAGAGCTTGGAGAAATTACAAGAATAGACCTGAGTCATTAGCCACTCAAGTTTGGAACGCTTTAAAAACGGATGATTACCCCAATGATAAGAAGTTTTTAGGCATAACTCCTCAAAAGGTAAATCGTCCTTCTGGTTATGATTATATTGACTATAAGTCTAAACGTTTATCTTGGCATTCTAATAGTCCTAAATTGTGGGCGGAATCCAAGAAGTCACTTTTAACTTACAGACTATACGACTATGTGGTAAATTTATTGCAACAAAATGGATACAGATTAATTGGTGGTAGGTCTTGGTATGTGATGCTACGATGGGTAGAGAATCCTGATCAATATCTTAATAATGGCTGTCAAGACTTTGTCAGAATATAACTATTTTACATATCTATTTATTATATAATTTATTCATATATATCTTTAAAATAAAACCATCTAAAATATCCCTTGAGGGTTGGTACTTTAGACTTTTATTCACTGCTATTTCGTGACGAATAATAGCTATTTTTTTATTCTTAATTTTATATGTCAATCTGTTTTATGAGTTACAAAAATCCCTAGTGTAGATAATAAACCGTGCTTGTTATTTTTACACATCTACTTAAATTCCAAATCTGCTGGATAAGATCAGCTTCTTAATAATATAAGAAGTGGCTAATAAGATGTATATTATATTATTGTATTAATAAATAACGGAAAAAATAAATAATTATTTGATTGATTGCTTACATTAAACTTAGACATCTTTTTTATATGAAATCGAAGAAAAAAAAGTTATAATTGCAGAGGAATTCTTTGAGATAAATGATATAAGTGAAATTATATAATTATTATATTCGTTAAAGGTAATTAATCGAATTTGGTTAATCACGTATTATTATGATCGGGTTCGTACAAATTTTAATCTAAAAATAATTTTTATTATACAGTGTACAACATATCGTTATCTGATTGATTATGCAGATGGGATATCAGGATGAAATAATGTTTTTTTATTAATTTTATCTATCAATATCTTGAACATTATTCTTTTTTCTAAAAATCGAATTAGCGGTAGTTAAAAGATGATTTACTATATTTTTAGCGTGATTCTAGCTTGACTCTAGCACAAGTATGATATTTTACATATAATTATATAGAAAAAATCTAGCGCGACTCTAGCTCAACTCTAGCACGACTCAACCACATTTAAATCTGATGATGGATTACCAATTTCGGAGTAATAACACACAAATAAAAAAGATCAATTACAAAAACGATTATGGAATTATATAGACCATTTTTTTTGCCTGCAAACTTTTTGCGCGCAAACTAATATTCAATGTTTCATCCTGATTACAACCCCATTACAGCGAAGCTTCCAAAAAGTCTAGTCAAGAGGGCATACCATAGGCTTTTACATCACTCTAGATCCCCCGTTACCTCAAAGCAAATTTCTGAAAAATGCGATCGAATTGAGGCTTATTTGTATCATACATTAGAGGTATATGAAAAAGGATTAAATCGAAAACGTAAAAAACAAATCCAAACTATAGAACTACTTGAAAATTTATCATATAATAGCAAAGCTAGTGTCAAGACATATATAGATATGACTAATCAAGAAACTCAAACCCAGAATATTAATCCGATCTGCACCTGTAACCATGAGGAAGAAATCAATCGTCGTGTTAAGAAAGAATTAGATATTTTATGTCGACGATTACTTGAATATAATGAAGAAACTTTTGGTAAATTTATGCGAGAAATTATTATAGAGCATGTGGATCGGGTCAAAGCTAATAAGAAATTACGATGCAAGGTTGAAGAGAAAAAGATAGAATTGCAAGAAGCTGAAAAATACCTTGAATATCTGAAATCTCGATCCAGTTAGATAGAAAGATCAAGGGGCTGGTCCCATCCCTTACGAAGATATAAAGCGTCTTCTTTTGCTCTAGTTAAATCGATAACAATAAATTCTCTACCTTGTAAATTTTTATCAAGTATATCAACAACATCGCGCCATTTTTTCGTATATCGTCTAGCAATATTAACTAGCTCATCATATGTACCACTGCCATTGAAGAGAACAATATAATCGAGATTTTTTCTTATTAATTTTGGACAATCGAAGAAGGATTGTGTAGTATATATATTACTAATGTTTTTATGACGCCCTTCGGTAAAGTAACGAGCAATTTTTTCTTGTATTTTTTTAGGTTCGGTACATACATCTTCAAATATAGCAACTGATCCTCTTTCAGGAGAGAATTCTTCTATCTTTGGTATTTTGTCAGGTTTCAATGCTCGGAATGTAATATCTTCATGATATGGCTTTGTACTATTTGCAATTATTTGATAACAATCTCGAAGGTATCTATATTTTGGCTCTTTGAGGTGGTGTCCGATTAAAACTAAATCATCATTTTTAATGTATCTTGTTCCACCTTTTTTTCCGTTAAACATTCGATACAATTTATTTCCAAGCAAAAGATTAACAATCATATTAGTTTTTCCTGATCTGGTTCGTCCCGATACTAGCATATTGAAAGGCCATTGGGGCGTCGAGTTAAGACCATTAAATCGATCTATATTTGTGTATTCGTCGATATTAAGTACAAATAATTCACATTGATCAAGTTTCCTGGTTTTTATGGATTTCTGATATTGAGTTTTACTCATTGTTGAGCGGGAATGTAGAAATAGGTAATATTAATTGTTATATCAAATATATTATTTATACTATAAAAATTATTCATTATGCGATAAATAACCCTTTTCTTCTAATATATGTTTAATGAATGGAAATAAATCAGCCGTATAGGGAATCTCAATAAGATCTATACCTTCTCTTTTACATAATTCGCGCTTTTTCTGATCTCGATTTTTCTGGTTTATTAAATCTACTTCTCCATTTTTTCTATGGTATAAACTATTACGATTAAAGTGTTGGATTCCATCATATTCCCAAGCTAATTTCAATTCTTCATTATATCCATCTAATTGCATCCCATCTAAAAATGACGGTTTACAAGATGGAAATTTTTTACCTAACAGATCCTCAAAAATATATCTACACCTTCGCTCATCGGTGTGATGGAAACAAAGTGGACACCATTCAAACTTCGTAGCTATTAATGGATATGGGTACTCAAATTGATGTTTACCATTCCGACATGACCAAAGGTATACATTCTGATCATTAATTCGACCAGTTTTAGCTAAAATACTTCCATCACGTTTCTTGGCATATTGTTGGACCCTGTCAAATTCACTACTAGAAACACGAATGAAATGTATCGATCCAAAAGGATGATATTTTCGTATAAAATTATCAGGTGGATATTCGACTTCTTCAGGATTTTCTATTACTTGGAGTTCTTCTCGCTTGAATGGTCGATGTGGGTTACGTCCCATCAAATGAGCAGTAGATTCAATAGGCTCATCTTCGAGATAGTATAAGACTGGCTGTGGTGGATTCCTTCCAACAATAACCTTTTTAATTCGATAAACACGCAACGAGAAGTATGGATCAGTTTTCCTATGAACGTGTCCTCCTTCCAACTCACCTGGTTTTAATAAATATCTTACAGTCGTTCCTTTCTGTAATCGCAGTTCATCTTTCCCAATAGGTCTTTTAGGTTTGATAGTTACTTTGGGAATCACTTCCCGCAATGTCATAGCATGTGAGAAAGAAATCCAATCTTTCAAAGAAGAACTGGAACGTCTCGAGAATGCTTCGGAGGGAGAAAAGGCAGAGTTGAGATTGGAGATATCGTCCCTTAAAAGAAGCTTATATCAAACTAAAAAGGAAATCCGAGATAAGGTATCCTATACTGATATTATAGAGAAGCAATTACAAGAATCAGAAGAGCGGGTTCAAAATTTAAGGCATAGATTCAAAGTTATTTCTTCTCGAAGAAGCTCTCCAAACTTATATAATTCAGAAGAGGAAGATATAGATATGGCACATATAGACCCCTTTATAAATATCACTAGAGGATTAAATCGACTTGAAAACCATTTCACGGGGGGTACACCATTAAATAATCCTGCCAATATCATCCAAGGTATGTATGGCACTTTAAATACTATTCGGGCTAATTATCAAAGAATAGACCAGGATTTAGATGATGTTACGAATCAACGAGATGCTCGAGATGCTCAAATAGTACAATTACAGCAAGATGTCAATTATTTTAGACAGCAAAATATTGCTTTACAAAATCATGTTAACCAACTTACACTAGAGCGTAACAATTCTCAGAATGATCTTGCTTTGATGACTACAGCTTATTATAATGAACGGGAAGAACGTCGACATTGGTGGAGGGTAGCTAAACAATTGGAAAAAGGAATGCAGATGCGGATTAATACTTTATTACTTGATAAGCTTGCACTTAATTTTAAACTCCGGAGGTGTCAAAGACATGGTAGAGAATTACAACAGGAGCTACAACAATACCGGGCTGATAAAGGATTATTAGAATATAATCGTGATCGGCTTTTTGATAGATATTACAATAAGTTCAAGGATCGGAAGGCAAGTCATATTAAGTGGAAAAATAGGGAGCGCAATTCACAGCAATTAATTTTGAATTTAAACCAGCAAATTTTTGCGCTTCAGAATAATCAACCTATAAATAACCAATATAGAGGTATGGCTGGATATGAACTACCAAAATTTCGTGGTCGGGCTGGAGAAGACCCAGAAGTTTTTCTTACTGAATTTCAACGATGGTGTGAGACTGCTAATTATGACCCAGGTGTAGGTCATCGAATGCGAATGAGAATTCATGGTATTTTTGAAACTTGCTTATTGGACGACGCAAAAGACTGGTATGAAACCAATGTCAAAGGCAAAAACTGGGAATTAGTAAATATTAGCGATAATTGTGGTCACGCAAATCTTAATGCTCTTAATGGATTGACTAATAATCAAATACGTGCTATTAATGCTAATCAGTTTAGAGGCGGATCTCTTCAAATCCGAAATACTGCACCAGCTAATGGAAATCAACCTGCTATACCACTAGTTCCGCCCCACACTGTATGGCATGAAGACTGGCTAACATCAGGTGGGCGACCAACGGACTTGGCTCCAAATGCCTCCAATGCCAATGTAGGGGGTAATGTTATAGCTCCAGGTAATACAATTGGTCAAGTAATTGATTATTTTAGACATGCATATCCCACAGTTACAGCTGAAAAATCACAATTGGTATTTACTACACTTGCTCAAGGCTCTGATCCTGTAGGCCGTTTCTATGCAAACTTAAAAAAAATGGTTAAACTGGCTTACCCAACACTCCCAGCATTAAATCAGGAAACAATGATTAGACAACAATTCTTTCAAGGACTTTCTCCTGATAACAAAATAGAAGTAAGACGCATTGGTCTCGAACATCCAATTTCCGCTTTACTACCAAAATTAGAAGAAATTGAAAGACAGAAAGCTGAAATGATGTTGGGTCAGTATAATCCTGAATCTCACCCCATTATTTCTCGATCACAATCTAAAGCTAATACAAAAGATTCTTATATAACGGGTAACACAGGTATGACCAAAGAAATTGAAAATCTGGTGAAAAGTATCATGGCATCTTCACAATCTCAACCTGTTTCTTCCCAGACAGTTCCTCAATTGCAAGATAGACAGTTGATACGGCCCAGTCAAATGGAGCCAGGTAAAATTTATAGAGATCCAAATCTACGCCTGAATGACCAAGAATGGCTTCGAATGAATGAAGCAACAGATCGTCTTAGTGCTTTAGCGGATCAATCTACTTTACAATCATTAATAGATACAATTACTAAAGGAGTAGTTGATAAATTTTCTTCTTTCTTGCCTAAGAAAAATGAAAGGAATATGTCAAAAAATGCCGAAGTCGACTCAGATGAAGATCTGGCTGATCGTATGAGTAAGTTGTCAATAAATAAAGCTATAGCAAAAGGTATTGAAGCAGGTATTAATTCAGTTAATAAATCATCCAAACACCATTGTTCGAATTGTAATAGAACTGGACATAATTCTTGCAAGTGTACTCGTAAGAAAAGGTCCAAGAGTAGATCCAAAAAGAGAGGTAGTGTTAATAAGGTTGCTGTAGATTCAGGTTCAGATACAAACTTTTCCGATAATGATTCTTCAGATAATAACTCCGATTCTGGGGATTCCTCATCTGAAGTTGAATCTGATCATAGTTTTGATGTACACGTCTCTAAAACAAAAAAAAACAAGTAAAGCCCAAATCTAAGGAGTCCAAAATCAAGAAGGAATCCAAACCTCGCAAGACAAAACAAAAAAATACTCCTGCTTCTGGTAAGTCTGGAAATAAATCAACTGTTATTGATAAATCACTTCAAAGAGTTATACTAGATATGCTTGATGGTATCGCACCTATAGATTGGATTGAGAAACTTAAAGCTAAGATTGAGAACCCATCTGATATACTCCCATCTATCAAAAAATCGAATTTTACAGATTATCGAGAACCAGTTCCAGCAATACCCGATTCAGAGGAAGAAGAAACATTAGATGATCCTATGGAGATAGACTTCGTTATAAAGAAAGAACCTACTACAACTATCGCAACTATACCATGTAAGATTAAGCGTCTGAAAATTCCAGCAATGACATTAGATTCGGCCGCCCAACCCGCGATTGTAACAGACGACATTGTTAAACGTGTGGGCGGGAAGATTGATAAATCAGAGATATATGATCTCAGTGGTATTGCTACAGTTCCAACTGAATCCATTGGTGTCATCCGTAATTTACCAATAACATTCCCTCCAGGTTTTACTATATATGAAGATTTTGTAGTTGTGAAATATAAAAAGCCAACATTAATATTTTCGAATCCACTTCTCAAGAAATACAAATGTGCTATAGATTGGGCCAAAGATGAGTTAAAAATTCCTTTTAATGGAAAGGATCATATTATTCCTGTAACTATGCACAATGTCAAAAATAATCTTGAAGTAAATTGCGCTACCGCATCTCAGAATGATAAGTCTTTGGTATCCAATCAAATTTCTCAAGAGACGGATAGTGATAAGGATGACAATATAACATTGGAGGAATGGCATGCTCCTGCGCGTTTTAGCTCAGATTCTGATGATCCGTCATTAAAAAAAACACGTGATTAATCCTAATCTCATTCCAGATACTAAAATATTAGAGTTCCATTCTAAGGTTTGGGACACACGGCAAAATCTCAAAGATGAATTTCTTAAAGTTTTAGATTATGCTGAATATCTTGAAAAGGAATTGATTCGAATTCAGGATTCAGCTTGAAGCTCTTTAGCATATTTTCGCAAATGTGACATTCTGGCTTGCACTTCATTTTCTGGCACTGACGAAGTAGACTGATTATTTAAAATAGAATGATGTATGGTTTTCGATTCCAATAGATCTCCACCTTTAGATAATTCCGCACTAGAATTGTCCTTTTTTTTTCTGCTAGTCTTTTTTGTCTGCTTATCTGAGGTAACAATAGAGTTTACTTGCATAACGTTTTCATCCATGCCAATGTTTAGTAAATGAGATGAATCAGGAAACCGATCTACTGTATTTGATAAGCTGTGGTCCCCATTCTGTTGAGAACGCTCGCTATTTTTCCATATATCCTTAACACGATTTTCATTAATATGGAAATTCCTTACTAGCACATATTTAGGAACCTTATTTTTGGATTTCCTAATCTCTTCGATTTGCTCAGGTGTTAAAATAGTAGCACCTCGGCGATAATAAGTTTTTAGATGTGGAGTGGACATTGTTCAAAGATGTTTTTTTTTTCGAATTGGGTCGAAGATTATTACTTTACTTAATAAAAGATAATAAATATCGAAATTTAATATTTTACATGGATAAATAACGTTAAAAATCAAAGGTTACCATTTGCTATCGTTAAATAACGTTAAAAATCAAAGGTTACCATTTGCTATCGTTAAATAACATTAAAAATCAAAATTAATTCAATTTTTTGTTAAACATATTCTCTAATTATATGGCACCAATACATACCTTAAATAGTGGATCTACTGTTGCCGAAAATTTTCAAGGGCGTGGATATAAATTAGATAGCACTAGAGAACGTGAGCTTGAATCTGAACATAATGAGTTACTCATTAAAACCGAATTTTTTGCTAATAAATGTTCCGATTTTAGAAATGCCAAAGTGTTTGCAGAATCACGATCAGATGGGCTTGCAAAAGAGCTGAAATCAAAAAATAAAAAGATTTTACACCTCCAGAAAAAATTAAATCGAACCACCGATGCCAAAACACGAAATGACTCAAATATAAAACAACTCAAAGAAGAAATCAAACAGTTACAGAGCAAAAATACTAATCTTGTATCCCAGGGTGCTCTTAAAGAACTTTCTCTTACTGGCTATCAAACCAAGTATTACAAAAAAATGGAAGAGGCGAATTCTTTCCAATCTAGAATAAAGTCATTGGAAGAGAAATTATTTTCAGCTCAGAAGGACTCATCTCTGAAAGCTTCCGGGATCGATTCTCTCAAGTCCAAAATAACTGAATTGGAGCTCATGAAAGATGAATTATCCTTAAAAGTTAGTGAGCTTGAACATCTAAAATCGGAGGATATATCAGAACCCATAGTTGGTGGAGATAATGAAAAAAATACGCAGAGCGATGAACAAAGCCCCATAACCAAGTCTGACGATATATCTGCAATTAGTGAACCTAGCAAAAATCTCAGTCAATATTTTATACGTAAAAAAAATATGGATCAAGCTGGAAAAATCGATACTATTGTGCCAGATCACACTGATGATAAAAGTACTTCTATACCTGAGAAATCAGTAATTCGAGGCTATGACTCATATCCAAGTGTAGATACTGAGATTATTCCCAATGTAAGTGATAAAATCGATATTAGTAAAACTAATAACAATATACTTGTACAGCCAGAAAATAATAGCGGAGCTAGTGCTAAAGCACATATGTCCCCTTTGATTGAATCGAATACCCAGATGGGACCTGGTCCCGAGGCTTTGCCTCCTCCGATAGGAGCAATCCCTATTGTGGCATATATTTTTCTTACTCTATTAATTATTGCGGTTATGTGGTTTGTAAGACACACATGGGGATTTGGGAGGAAAAGTGATCGGTTACGGGATATGTGGATTGGACATTAGAAGTTATCTATTTAAACTTGGGTATTATATATATATAGAAAATATAATAGTTTTTAACCATGCCTAATATTTGTTGTAGTTGTAAGGGACCATCGTCGCCATTATATACAGACTGTATTGTTACACACTCCTTTATGGTAGTAGGGATGAGATTTCGCGGTGGTCATAAGTTTAAGAAATCAGATACCATCACTCTTGAACCGGAGCCTTCTAATACGTATGATAAGAATGCGATAAAAGTTATGGTAGATGGTATCCATAAAGCCTATGTGGCAAAGGACGAGAATGTAAGTATAGGAGATTTGATGAAAAAATACCCGAATTATCGGATTACTGCTCATGGGAAAAAGAACTATAATAAATCAGCGTCTTTAAACCTTGAATATCCTTGGATGGTTTGTGAGAGATGTCGCGATACGCTACAAGCATCGAGGGACTATGACTATAGTTATTGGTGAACCTATTTGAAGTTGGGAGTTATTTATATACGAAAAATATTATTAATAGTATAAGTATCTTAGTGGCGATCTTAGCTAAGAATACTTAACAATATAATAGCACAGCTAATCAATTCAAGGCTTTAACATATTTCGTAAGCCATTTTTTAGCTTCCCTCTGGGAATATGCATCAATCTGCTTTTCTTTTTCATCCGAATCCTTGAGTTGCATAATTTTATGTGAAGTTGATGGTTGGTATTTCTCATCTTCATTGATAAACCGCGCACATAATCCTAATGTACTTTCTAAGTAGTAATTAATATCTATTTCTTTATTAAGCTCTTTTGCAAACTCTGGATATTCCATATAATCACCAACTCTATATTGTATTAATCGACCTTTTTCATCACGATAACGCTCACCTTTTACTACTACATAACTAAAGCGCTCACCAGGATCTGGGATATTCAATTGTTTTTCTTTCATTCGAGTTATAAAACGCTGGACACGAAGATTTTTTTTCTTAGGCTTCCATGTAGCCATCCCAATAAATTGACTAAAGTCCCATTGCTTATGTTTGGCCTCTCTGAGAGTATCTTCAACAATTTTATGAATCGTTCGTGTATTATTAATATCCATAGCCTCCTGCATAATCTTTTTTCTGATAAACTTGAAGAGCTCAGAATTCCCTTGCTTTACAGTATCAATTCCTTTCATAAAGAGATTATCTGGCCTAAAATTGACAACCTTTTCATGTGGTACACCGAAGTATTTTTTCTTACCAGCAAAACAGACGGGAAATAATACCTCCTCATATGCCATCTTAAGATAAGATGTGCCGTTTTTTATTCTAAGATAATCATTGACCTGATCACGTAACTTTTTCATCGCATCCATAGTAATTTTGACCATTTCACTCCAGTATGCTTCTTTAGAAAGTTCTTTTCTGGAGAAGGCTTTATTGTATTTTTCATAATATTTAATTGGACAGGAGAGATACAAAGAATCGGTATCCCCATATTTTATTCCAAACCCTTTCTTTGTTACGAATTCAGTGACAAGATTAAGGTTGTATTTTCCTGCTGAAGTAGTTCCTCCAGCTAATTCACGAAGAAAGATTGGAGATTTTGAGTTTCCTGCTTCCCCGTAAAAAGTATTCATATATACCTTCAAAGCTTTTTGCTTCGAATCTAAATAATCATAATCGAAGCATATGGATAAGTATTCTAAATTTAAGCTTTCCGGAATCTTTTTACCTTTCTTTTTAAGTGAACTTATCATTTTCCCAAGCGGTTCTTTTTTCTTTCCTAATGGGTCAAGTTGTGCTTTAAGCTCTACTCTCTTGTTAAATAAATCCTCTAATACGATAGGGTATAAGCCCTTCTTTTCCAATTTATTATCATGTCTCACACTCCAAGCTTGGACGATGTGGTTATTAAATGGAAACTCAATCTTATGCAAGTTATTTCCATTATTTTGCACAAAATCAGCCTCATCTGGTGTTAATATGATTTTTTCCGGAGAAAGATTATAAGTCATAATAAGGCTGGGATATAAAGATGCAAAATCCAGACCCGTCACTGGCCTTTCTGCTTCTATACCTTTTTTAGGTGGAAAAACGTATGCACCAGGAAATTTCCCTTTTTCTATATTTTTACATACCCTTGTACTAAATACTATATCACGCTTGAAAGCATAAGCACCCAGAAGATTTCTTACCTTCATTCCATTAGCCCGGTAATGTGAATCAAATAAAGATACATATGCTATAGAAGCAATCTCCCTATAATCATTAATTACATTTCGTTTAACTATAAGCTCTTGGCAACGTAATGCATCTATAATACAATAATATGCTACTTTATGCATGTTTTCTATAGTAGAATGCGATTTATTTAAGGAAATACTCTCTTTTGCTTCTGAATAGATTTTCCACATTTTATTATATGGCATATCCGCTTTACCCCCCAATCCACATATTTTTAAGTAAAATGCAAGTGAACTTTTTTTATCAACTTCTGCACGAGGATAGAGTTTCATAAAACATGCACGTACGTCAATTGGTACACAACCCGGTATTTTAAGAAAAGTGGAAATATAATTATCTTCTGGACTAATTTTGATTATAATCGATTGTATCCTATCATTTTCTTCCTCATTATTATCAATGGCGCCTTTTTTAATTTGAAAACTATTTTTAGATTTCACACCTATTTTCCCGTAATAATTCCATTTTTGAATTTCTTCCTTCGATTTAAATCTTCCCGTCATCTGTTTCCACATCCATTCGAGAATATTAAGTCTATAAGCTCTTTCCATAATAAATGGCCAATCATATTCGGAATCGCTAAATCCGAGTTGAATATCAGGGATGAAGGCTTTCCAGCATAATGCAAATGCTTTTAGTAAATTTGTCTGGTTCCCACATACAACTGTTATCCATCGTGGGTCTGGTGCAGTTTCAAGATCGACAAGACAGATTTGTTTTAATGGTCTTGGATCGTCTTTCCAGTGTAAGGTCATACAAATCATAAATACAATATTTTCTTCATCATGTATTTCAGCAAATTCGCCCAACTCTCGTGATTGTGTTTCTATGTCCCAAGTAAGAATAAGCGTACGATCTCTCATGAGCGCTGAAATCGGAAAACGGTCACTTATCATTTTTAGATCTTCTACTGGTCGAAAATCATTTACAGAAACTCTAAAATCGTGTATATAATGAGAATGTTTTTTGTATATATAATTGCTTATCGTAGACCAACCAGAAATTGCGATTCCATTTTCTCTAGCTATTTTACGATGAAATGAGAACATATCATCTGAGGCAGTTTCAAAATTTTTATCTTGAATAGCTTGAAGGGCTTTTTTTCTATCTCCAGTACCAAGTGTAAAAATTCGTAAATATGACTTTTTTTCTGTATGGTAACCACGCAAAGGGAAGGCATTAATGTATCCTATTTTATAGATATTTATTGTATTACAAATAATTTCATCTATTTTTATTTTAAAGTCATCTACAGATTCGTTATCGGGTACAAGTATATCAAAGAATATCTGGATTCCTGTAAGAGTAACTATCGCCTTTTGGCCATTGATAAGAGAGCCATAAAGACGTAAAACATAACGATTTTTTTCACCTATTTTTTCTGATGAACCCTCAAAATCGACAGCCATAAAAGGGATCTCCTCTCGTTTAGCCAAAGCATTATTAAGAATTGTAGACAAGCCCTCATCATTTTCTGCAACTATATTATCACGAGTTGGTAATCCTGTTAAATAATTTTCACCAGAATATCGGATAAGTTGACCTTTTTCTGAGTTTTTATTTTCCGAAATCTGTGATTGAGGAAAAGCTTTGGCCCCCCGGTGGTACAACGCCCCGTTATTTTCTTCCTCTAACTCTGGCTCGAAATTTTCTGGGCTCTCTGGTCGAGAAAGTGATACTTCCGCCTCTGTTGGCGCGTGATTGATGTTTTCTTGGAAATTTTGGTTTTCCACAGTTGGTATATCGGATGATACAGGTACAATAGGCATGCTATGTTCACTTTGGGTACTCATGTTTTTTCTGAAAGTATAATATTCGGAATTAAAAAGTTCAAAATGAAAATTAATTCTAAAGAATATTGATCAGTACATATTATATACTCAATCAAGATAAACATCAAAAAGAATGGCATTTTATCATTGTCCCTATATCCTTAGAACTGGAGAAGTCTGTAATCGGCCATGTTACCATCCCAATGGGTGCTCAAAAAGACCTCAGGAAAGATTAGTGCTTGTCCGAAGAGATACTTTGTAAGGAAAATTCCGTATTGAAGATGGCAATTCAAAGACATCTTTTCATACCCCCAAAGGATTAAAAGTTGGTGACAAAATACTGAGCGGAGAAAATGAAAATATCCCAGTCCAAACAGGAAATAATTTGCCTTTGCGCTATATTTAGGGATGGAAAAGTCCGCAGGTCCGGACCTAAAGACCAGGTCCGGACCGGACCAGTCCAAATTTTAGGACCAGCCCAGGACCAGGTCCTAAAAAGTCCGGCCAATCAGATTTAAGAATTGAAAATTAAGTTTTTTTTTTTTACACAATTATTCTTTCAAATATATTATTTTTGTTTTTCAAAAAAATAAACATCACTAATTATTATTATTACATTAATATTTTTAGCATCAAAATACTTGTTAGATCACCTAAGATATAATATTCTTCAAATAAATAATTTTAATTTTTTTTTAATTCATTTTGTGCAATTATAAGCAATTCATCCACCTCATATGTGCAAATAATAGAGATAGTAATTAATTGATAGTAATATAATATAATAATAACAACAACAACAATAATAAATAATAATAATAAAATAATAATAATAACAACAACAAATATTAATGATAACAAATAATAGTAATAATAGAATAATGATAATAATATAACAATTTTTCTTAACAAAGATTTTTCATAAAAAAGATATACAATATACATTGATATTTTTTTAATTAATTCTTTAAAATGGATGTTTCAGATAATTTTTATAATGATAATTATTGTAGTTTTTATGATTATAATGACCAAGGAAATAGCTTGGAAGAGACACAAACAATAGAAACTCCTCAACCATCTGATAATAATTTTTTGGTCAATGAGATAATTAATGTTGACAATCCAGAAGAAGCAACAAAATGATACTGAATTTAATTTCGTTAATAATGAAAAAAATGGAAAAAAATTTGCAGATATTTGGAATTATATAAGTTACAACAATTCTAAAAAGAGAGTCTGTAAAAAGTGTAGCTATGTTTTTTCTGATAAATCTGGCAACTCATCTATTGAACGGCACATGGTCAATTTACACAATATTAAAATAAAAAAAAAGCAATCAAATACATTACAAACCATGCTTAATTTTCAAGTAATTAATCCTTGGCCAGAAAATGAACGAAATAAAAGAGATAATTTATTAATTAGATGGGTAATAGGTAATCTACAACCATTTAATATTGTTGAAAATAAGTATTTT